TTTAATTGATAAATAATTTCAAAAAAATAAAAAATCAATTTTCATTTAATTTTAATTTCAGGAAAAAAAGAATTAATTATTTATTTATTTATGGATGTCTGAACCGGTTAGACCCGGTCGGACTGGTTGGACCAGCATGACCGAGCTTTCCGACCCAAATAGTTTTTAGAAAATCATTTTGGAATTTAAAACTCAAATTCCATTTTAATTTTAAATCCAATATCCATTTCCAATTTTAAAATCGATCAAAATCCAAATTTAAAACGAAAATTCAATTTTCTAATTCCAATTTCAAAATTGATCAAATACAGTTTTACTATTAAATCCAATTTTCTAATTCCAATTTTATAATCGATCCAATTTCAATTTCACCAATTCAATCAATTCAATAAACTATTCACATGCAATCGAAAGCAATAAACACGTAAGCAATTAATTGCGCTTAATTGCGCAACCGTAGCTCTGATACCACTGTTGAGGATCAAGCACGTGTACCAGCGGAAAACAAAAATTTTATTTTACTATATATAAACTAATTTATATAAACAAGCACGTGCACAATAGATTACAATTAATTGCGTACCGTTTCGCTTCCAATCACCGATAAACATGTTCGCATATATAAATAATTTAAATAACATAAATTAAATCATCATAGCATGCACGCAGAATTAAAACAAATAATAAACATGCTCAACGAACAATTTACATAAACTCATAATCCAACATATAGATTCATATGATCAATAATCAATTAATATACATTAATCCAATTAACCAATTTCTGAAATTGGAAACCCTAATTTAGGACTTGCCAAATTGGGAAACATCCCAAAATAGAAAGTTCACTAAATTTCCGTTGAATTCTTTTCCTCTACTTATTCTCATCCGTAATTAACAATTACGAATGTTGGACTCAATCACATTGACTTCAAATTACACAAAGATTAACTAATTAATCTTAGCTCATTGCATTAAGGATCTCAAGTACACTAGCAGTGTGACCCTCGATGGTTCAGGTGTAAGCTAGCGGTGGGCCCACAACCTATTGTTGTTTAAACTCGTCCCTAGAGTTACAATTAAGATGAATCTAGTTTCAACTTAACTACCCAACGAATCAAGATTGGCGTCTAGCTACTACGCGTCATGATTCACTAGATACAAATGAAGTGCCTGCTAGAACCTTGTGACATAGTTAATGTACACTACGATCGTTTCGATACATATATCCCGATTCAACTAGAGGCATTGGTTTGTCGAGTCCTCTTTATGTGTTCAATAACTGTGTGGACGTTCTTGATTATATAATCCATTCGTGTTTGTCTTAGAGAAACAAATTTATGTAATCACGACACTTTCAGTTGTGGCCACATACTTCATGGATTATATTTCGCAAGAACACAACGGATATCCATGACTGATCAAGCGATCGAATCCCCTAATACAATGCACAGACCTCCCACTAGATTTCGGACTGCACGAACACTAGCCCTTGGGGCGGTCCTCGGTGGAACTCAGGGATAGGTGACGATACACCTGGTCCTCTAGTAAAGTCACGGTGATGTCTGGGTCTTAAGGATTAATGGTGTACAACTATATCATGGAAACCTCTACTCGATTATTGCGAACCACTTAGAGATGTCTAGATTGATGGAGTTCAGTGAACTCATCAACTTATGAACACCCACTTATCACTACAAGAAAAAATAGGTTTAGTGAACAAATTCTCAGCGACGATATAAACATGGTCACTGAATACATAGATTTAGCCACCAATAGGGTATTGGTTGCAAATGTTGAATGACGCATATATTTTTGCGACCAAGTAGCATTGGGTTGTAAAAAATGGTCACTGCAATTAAGCAAGCCTCGGAGAAGAGAACATCGACTGACATTGGATTCCTTAGCGAGAAATTTTAAATGGTCGCTATAAATAAACCGTAACAGTGACCAATATAATAATAAACTACACAGTTATTACTATAACTCTTAAAGAACAATAGATAACAACCACCCGTGTGGTTGCTATCAAGTACTCATAGCAACCACCTCATCCATAGTTGCTAAAAAATACTTCTAGCGACCAAATGCACATTGTCATTGTTCTTTTATTACAAAAATTATTTAACTGATTTTTTTTTCAAAAAATTTCAAATAAAACTAGAATTTTAACCTTATAAATTATACGTGGTTCGCTATATCAAGGATATTACCAATTTCAACTTCATTTACATTAGCTGAACTCATGTTTTATCATCTCTTTTGATGAAGAAAGTGAAAATAAAATATTTTATTGAATATCAACCAACCATAATTTGTTTTATAAGAACATCTGCAAATAATATTTTGAATAGGAAATCTCTGTCATTATCTTTTCAAGTCGTCATACAAAACCAACAATTAAATTAGGATTTTTCTCTTTTTTTTAGGTAGGAGAAAACTGTTGGAGTAGGTGACCAACTAGCCAACATGTGGCTTTATTCGTATTAATGATAAAACACCTTGGCATTCTATATCTTTGTCCCTTTGTCACAAGCATAGATATAGTCCTTACAGTTATTACAAGTACTAGTAATTGATCGTTAGGATCGTGAGATATTTACTTAAGTATTATAACAGTTAAACGTGTTCCTAGTCGAAGGGTTACGCCACCAATGAGGATATCGGCCTTTCCCATTAAGACTAGCACTTAGTCTATGTGTACTGCATCTCATCAGTAAACGATATTGTGATATCGGCATGCATAAGTGGGTGCTCGTAAGTTGACGAGTTCACTGAACTCCCTCACCCTAGAAATCTCCAAGTGGTTCCCAATAATCGAGTAGAGATATCTGTGGTATAGTTGTACACTATTAGTCCTTATGACCTAGACATCACCGTGACTTCACTAGAGGACCAGCTGTATCGTGACCTGTCCCTGAGTTCCACCGAGGACCATCCCAAGGGCCAGTGTTCGTGCAGTCCGAAATCTAGTGGGAGGTTTGTGCATTGTAGTCGGGGATTCGATCGCTAGAATAGTCTTGGATGTCCTGTGTGTTCTGAAAGTTTGTAATCATTCTAAGTCTGTGGCCAAAGCTGACTAAGTGATGATTAGAGAATTCGATTCTCTAAGTCATGCACGTGACGATTACAACACTTGGAACGATCGTACCGTCATCGAACATATAAAGAGGTCTCGATGAACCAATGCCTCTAGTTCAATCGGGACATATGCATCGAAGGGACCGTACTGTACGTTAACTATATCTGAAGGTTCTTGCAGGCACTTCATTCGTATCTAGGGAATCATGACGCGTAGTTGCTAGACGCCAATCTTGATTCGTTGGGTGATTAAGGTGAAACGAGCTTTATCTTAATCGTAACTCTAAAGAACGAGTTTTGACCACAAAGGGTTGTGGGCCCACGGCTAGCTTACACCTGAACCATCGAGGGTCACACTGTTCGTGCACATGAGATCTTTGAATAAACGGTCAGAGATAAAACAGTTTATCTTTGCATGATTGGAAGTCAATATGATTGGATCCAACATTCGTAATTTGTAATTATGAATGAGAATAAGAAAAGGAAAAGAATAGGCGAACGTATTAGTGAACTTTCTAAATCTGGAAGTTTCCAAATTTAGAAAATGCACTGAAATAGGGTTTCCACTTTTGGAAAGTTGGAAATTGAGAGTTGGCACTCATAATGACGAGGATATTATAATAATTCCGAAATTGTAATCGTTGCAATTTTTCGATCATTGAATTGAGAGAGACGAGCAAGTAAAGGAACTAACGAGCTTAAGCTGTTGGGCCCGGTCCAACTTAAGCCCGTTAGGGTTTTATGAAAGGGACTATAAATACATCATTTATAGGCCTTGCACAAACATACAAGACCTAATCAAAACCCTAGCCGCTCACCTCTCTCTCTCGGCCTCTCTCCCGCGGCCATCACTGGCGCCGTCGCCGGAACCTCGCCGGAATCGGCCGTTCATTCGTCGATTGATTTGGTAGTTTCTTTCCTTCTCTTTTTCTTCCATTTTTCTAACTATTACGTGTCTAGTGCCACGTGTTTAGTAGATCAAAGTATACGAGGTGAAATCCGAGAGGAGGAAGATCGAAGATCGAAGAATCGAGGAGCAGCACACGAGCCGAAGCCGCACGCAACCCCACGCGCCGCCCGAAGACCGCGCGTGAGTTACACGCGCCGCCGTGGCCGTCTCGCCGCTGCTGCCGCTGCACCGCTGCTGCCTCGGATTGTACGGATTGGTTTCCGTAGCAATCTCGACTCGCTTAGCACTCCTACCTCACGCTTCAAGAGGTAAACACACGAATCTCATGTTTTGATTCGTTTACGTTTAAACTAAATATTCATGTTTGCTTTCGTATGATTTCATGTGATTATGTGAAATCATATTTTTTATTGCGAGCATGTTATTTGATTTAAACGCGAGCATGCTAGTTGATTTAATTTCGATTAAGTAATTAAGCATGTATGTTGTTTTCAATTTCGCTGATAGCGCAAAGGTACGCAATTAATTGATTTAATTTATCGGGCATGTGCTTATGTGCTTTAAAGTTGTTTAAATCACATAAAATTATTATTTTCCGCTGCGTACACGTGCCCGGTTCCCAACAAAAACAATGTAGTAAATTTGGAGAAGACAGAGTAGTACAAATCCTAAATACATCAAAATAGATTAAACAAAGTAGTATAATAAAAAAGATAAAACTGAGTAGTAGCACAATAAAAAAGGGGAAACCAAATGCATTAAAGAAATTCTAACAAAATCAATTGATGGTTACAAAAAATGAGTATGACCACAATGATGAAAAAGAAAAAGACAATATACAACAGCTAGAAAATGAGTACATAATCAGATAATAAACAAAAAGTGTTAAAGAACCATGTTGTTATAATCATCCTCATTAAACACTAACAATTCAGAAAAAAAAATATAACCGTTCATATTTAAAGCATGAAATATAAGAGTTGATACGAAACAGGTGAAAACTAAAACGAATCAAGGGATAAACATTCCGTCGTGTTAAATAGTTCATGAACTTAAAAACATAAATAAAATATTGCTCTTAGAAGCAATTAATCTAATTAATCTAAATATACCTCAATCCAATAACTGTATCCATGTGATCGTATTAATCTGCATCAAGAAGCACACAAAGTATAATGAGTGCAAAAATTTGATCATGAATTACTTCTTGATTAAAACACATATAGTTTAAATTTATTTGAATATACATTTTACCAGAAAATGTTTCGGTATCAATTATTTCAGAAAAGATTCTACCGGTCATCTTCTCAACACATTTCACCACAGCCTCTACTGTGGTCTTTTGAATAGCTAATTCAGCTTTTGCACTTGCCAAATCCGCTTGTGTGGTCGCTAACTCTTCTTCTAATCGTGCTCCACTAGTAGATAATTCATAAGGTAAAGAAACATTACTACGTGATGACTTTTTGTTGAGACCTTTTGATTTTGCATATGATGAATTTTCTCCAAGGAAAGTAATGCAAATCTTTTCTGCGTTCATACGTTCACCTTCTGGCAAAGCTTGTTGTTGTTCTTTCAATTCTTTCATTTGAGCCTATTTCAAAGAAACAATATTAGAATTACTTCGTGCATAAAATACTTACTCTTAGTACATACATATAATGGGTAAAGAATAAAGTAAAACTTGGGTTACACTTACACTTTTAGCCTCGGCATCTTTGTCGGACCATCCATTCTTTGCATTGTAGAATTGAACCGTGTACATATCAACATCATCCAGACTCTGTTATGAAGTAATAAAAAAATATAAGTTTATAGTTATAATTAAATATTTACAATGAAGAAAATATATACATGACTAATATTCTCATGTTGATGAGCAGCACGAGATTTAGTCCCAAATTTATGACTATATTTCAGCTTATCTCTATTGTTAGATTGAGTCTCTGAAATTTTCTGCAAATATTTAAATAAACAATTAACACGGTAACTTGCTTTTTGGATCAACAACATAAAATTTAATTTTCTATACAAACTAAAATCTTATAAGTAAAAACATAGACCTTAAATGTGTCTGTCTCCCAGAAATCGCATAACGAAAGCCAATCGTCATGGCGATTGGCAAGTTTTTCATAAGTACTTTGTCTAGCTAGTCTCACACCACTTTTATCTCTGATCGTTTGATAATGCTTATGAGCATTGGATCGAAACGTGGAGTACTGTTTAGCATAAGACTTCCAATACAATTCACAACATGAGGTTCATCTACTTCATAGCTGAGCTTATTCTTTACCATTTAGGAGATTTAATATACTCAAGTTAGATAAATTGCATTGTTAACATCTGAACTAAAATAGAAAATACAAATGAAGAAAATCGAATGAATCACTTACAATCAACTTTCTGAAAAGATCTTCTTTTTCCTCAACTGGAATTTTTGCCCAACCCGCTACTTGCATTGGAGCGTCAAGCCTAATCAATACCCCAATTTGAGTGGCGTGCTTCGAGCTGTGCTCCCCAATAGGCTTGTTGACTCCTCTCGGAATCACAATTTTTGGCTTCTCTCCACATTTGCGAACATACTTTTGTGTATTTAACCCTCGAGTAAGACCGCGACCTCGTTTCTCAGCCACTAATCATGTAAAAAAATCTAGGAGAAGTGAAATCGATAATTAATAATTTTAGAATAAGCTTAAGAAAGATATAATATGTTTAAACATTACCGTTGGTCGCATCAAAAGTGTTATCAACCACATCTGCTATTGACTCTACAAAGAAATGTTTTTTATAGCATATGATAATAAGTGAAATAAACCCAAAACAAAAAAAAAAACATTAATTTTAGCCAATAATGCCTCCAACATTAATTCTGATTTACCATCTAACGCATTAGGCGCAAGTTGCACTATAAGCTCTTCCATTTGCACTCTAGTGGTTTTGGGCGCAGGAAGTGACACTCTCTTTCTCTTACCTAGAATTACAACATTCAAAGTCGAAAAATTAGAGTAAAAAACTACTGTAACTAAAATAACACAAATAATTGAATTATCGCCCCTAGTGAAATCAATAATTAATAATTGTAGAATAATCTTTTAAAAAAGATACAATATGTTTAAACATTACCATTGGTGGCGTTAGATGTGTTTTCAACTACATCTACTATTGGATCTGTAAAAAAAATATTGAAAGTGAGATAAACAAGAAATGAATAAAAGTAGTTGTAGTCAATAATACCTCTACCGTTAATTATGATATTCCCGTTTGATGCTTTATGCACATGTTGTTGTGCAAGCTCTTCCATTTGCACTCTAGAAGTTTTTGCCGCATGAAGTGATGCTTTGTTTCTCTTATCTAGAATTACAACATTCGATGTACAACACATTAGATTATATTAACTAGAAAAACTATTGTATCTAAAATAACATAAATAACAATATTATCACCCGAAGATTGATGCAGAGAATGCATAGTTGGATCATCGTATTTGTCGCTTGTTGCAGCTGCTAATGCCTTGGATAACTCAATTTTACGCTTTAAATCCCTACTTTTACTAGCCGTTGCCAATGCTCTTGTCAATTCCATTTTACGCTTACTATTGATACTCATTATCAAACCTAATATTTAAATAGAAGTAGATGATCAAAATCAATAAATCGTATCAAAACAGATAAAACAATTGTAAAACTTGGTTTTGTAATATATTTTTTCTAGTTATAATTATCTTTAAAAAATATGTACTGAAATTATTAGAAATTATGATTAACTTTTTACTAGCCATAACTTAGATGACACACATAAAACACATCTGAAGCATTTGGAACATGTTGATTTATGTAAGGAACATATCTGTTATAATTGAAATTGTAACATAACCTATTCATATTCTCTCAAGTAAATATTGATATTACTCTATGTTTTATATGTACAAAAATTTAAATATTCAATAACCTAATCATATTATCTCAAGTAAATATTGAAATTACTCTATGTTTTATATGTACAAAAATTTAAATATTCAATAACGAGTACATCGAAAAAAGAAAAAAAAATCTAAAAAAACACCTTTCACCACTTATCTGCGTGAATTAATAAATAGGTATAGGTGTTACCAGTACGATTGAGTTGATTACACTCGCAGTGGAAGCTACGAAATTCGTGGTCAGAGTTTACCCACAAACCCACAATATCTATATGTGCTTTTTTAGTAAAGATTGATGAGAAGCAAAGTCACCTTTTATAGCAGAGAAGAACAGAGGAGATCGCAGGTGATAAGGAAAGATGGTGATTTGGTTGAAGACGTGCATAATCGTGATCCATTACCGCCAATTTCTATCAATTGCCGCCAGCTTTTTAGATAAAAAATGAAGAAGAAACGAGGTAAAAAAATTAGGGCTAGATTTTATCTTTTTGGTTTTATGGGCTGGACTATATCCATATGCTCTGTATAATCTTAATTAATTAACATTTTGATACATTAAATAATATACTTATTCGTATTGTATTGCTCTCACTCAACAGATTAATTATTAATTATAAATGAAAAATTGAGTTGTAGTGTTAGTACATGAAGTAAAATATTAATACTTAATCTACACAATTCCTTTTTTTTTATATATATATGTAATATTAGTATTTATACAAAAAATCCTTTTCTTTTATAGTGCAATTTATAAAAATAAATAAAAACTCAAAGATTTTAAATGTTTTTAGTAAATTCGGTTATTTACCGAAGCAAACCGCATATTTTGGTTCGGTAAACGGTATGAAAGTTTTGCTTACCGAAATTTCGGTATGGTTTCTACTTGTTTTCATTAATCACGAGGCTAAAATCAATGAGATCTTGAAATCCATCTTTTTATTTACATTAATCACGAGGCTAAAATCATCGAAATCCATTCTAATTCTATAAGTTTCGGATATTACGAAATTTTGAAATTTCAGATATCATATTAATTATGAAATTTTCCAGAGTTCAGAATTTTTCAGCTATTTTGTAAAATTTCAGTAAATAAGAACGAACACTTTGACAAGCATCAATCACACGAACTTCATTGATTTTAACTAATTCTAAAAATCATGTTCTTTTGAAATCATGAGTAGACGTGCTCATACGGTCGGTAAACCGACCAACCTAAACATAATTGAGCCGACAATTTGCTACGTGCCAAATATCAAACCGTTAATTCACTTCGGTATTTGGATTTTTTGTTTTTATTTTATATTTATATTTTTATATGTAATATTGATATTTATACTAAAATTCTTTTTTTATATACTACAATTTATAAAAATAAATAAAACCTCAAAATTTACCACAATTTGAATAAAATTTCGGTAATTTGGTTATTTACCGAAGCAAACCGCATATTTCGGTTCGTTAAACGGTATGAAATTTTGGCGTACCGAAATTTCAGTATGGTTTTACCAATTGAACAACCCAAGTTACGAGGCTAAATTGATCGGAATCTAGAAATCCATCTACTTATGTTCATTAATCATGAGGCTAAAATCATCGGAATCTAGAAATCTATCTACTTATGTTCATTAATCATGAGGCTAAGATCACCGAAATCTAGAAATCCATTCTAATTCTAAAAGTTTCGGAAATTTCAAAATTTTGAAATTTTCCATAGTTCTGAAATTTGGAAGATGTTGTAAAACTTCAGAAAATAAGAACACGAGTTTCATCATACGAAGTAATTTTAAAAATCATCTCATTTTGAAATCAAGAGTAGGCGGTAAACCGACCAACCTAAACATAATCGAGTCAAAAATTTGCTACGTGCCAAATACCGAACCGATAACTCGGTTCGATATTCGGTTTTTTTGGGTTTTTTTTATATTTATATTTATATATGATGTAATATCAACATGTATACTAAAATTCCTTTTTTATACTACAATTTATAATAATAAATAAACACTCAAAATTGTAATAATCATACAAATTAAAGATGAATTGGTTAGATCATTAAAAAAATCATATCTACGTGTCAAGTTAATTAAAATAAGAAGGTTTTGAGATATTAGTAAAATATTTAATTAGTTGTCCTTTTTTTTTTTTGAGGAAAGAAAGGAAATTTTATTCGGCTAAATTAGCCAAAATTATAGGAAGGAACTGACCCTGCGAGTTGCGAGCTCAATAATGTTTGCTAATGCATGAGCTAAATTATTACAAGTGCGAGGAATAATAGAAAATTGACACGAAATGAACGATGAAATAAGAGCCTGAATGTCCTCTAGATATGCTCCAAACGGGCATAAACTGGCGTCTTCATCCCTAAGAGCCGTAATGAGTTGCTGACAATCCCCTTCGAGGATAATCGAGTTCCAACATTTAGCCTTCGCCATTTGGATCGCTTTGAGGGCTGCGTGGGCTTCTCCTTCTACCGCATGGACAGTTTTTGTGAATTTTTTAACGCACCACCAAACTACAACCTTCTCTGAATTTCGGGCCACCATACTAACTCTGTAGAAAGATTGGGATGGCGGTAGAGCGGCATCAAAATTTACCTTGATGAAACCGTCCGGTGGTGGGCTCCAATTTCGTCGTGGGACGGGATCTTTGGGCGTAGGCGGGACATGGCATGCAGCTCTGAAAACTGAAAGGTAGTTTTCGCTCCAACTACACAACTCCCAACATCTTAATCCCACCTCTCCATGAGCCTCGCGATTCCTTGAATCCCAAGATTTCCAGCAGTGAATCATTGCTAGGCAGAAAAGATCTTTCGATAGCTTTTTCCTTATTTGCTCAATCCATTGGCGGAAGGAAGCCGACTCGATTGCCCCGTTGAGTTCGAACGGTTGGCCCAACCAAACCTCAGTTAAGCTCCTACACTGGACCAAAGCATGAACGGTTGTTTCGGGTTTAATCCTACACCTGCCACAAAATGGGTTAGATGAAACATGTCGTCGGAATAGAGGAGCGTTGGTCGGGATAAGATCTCCAACAGCTCTCCAAATGAAGATTTTGATCTTTGGTGGAATACTCAAATGCCAAATAAATTTCCAAAACTCTTTGTCTTCACTCCGCTAAGAGTTCTCGTATTCATGGTCTCCGCTACCAGTGTGGTGGCGGTGCATAATGTTATGGTAACAAGATTTGACTGTGAAATCTCTGGAGCGTGAATAGTGCCACACCAGCCGGTCATTTGCGTGGGTACTACCAATGGGGGTCGTGAGTATTTTGTGGCGGTCGATTGGCCAAAACGTCTCGTCGATGAGCTCCAAATTCCATGTACGAGAGTCGGGCATAATTAGATCTTCCACTTTGTCCGGGAAAGCGTTGTATATCGGCATGCGTGTTATTATACAGAAGTTACCATCCTCTTTAATCCATGGATCACCCCAGATGGAGGTGTGCTCACCGTTACCAATACAAAACCGTAGGCCATCTTTGACGTGGAGGCGAGCAAGGAGGAGGCTCCGCCAAGTGACCGACGGGCGGAGCCCCATTGGTGTTGACCAGAAGTTGCCCGACGGGAAGTACTTTGCACGAAGCAGCCTGGACAACAATAGCTCCGGATTTGTAACTATCCTCCATACTTGTTTAGCCAGCATTGCAAGGTTGAACGAACGAAGGTGCCGAAACCCCATGCCCCCGCTTTCTTTGGGAGCACACATCTTGACCCACGGTGCCCAAGACATCGAACGAGATTTTCCGTTACTCCACCAAAACCTTTGAATCGCCTTCTCCAAATGATAGATAAGACCCACTAGGAGACTAAAAAAACTCATGAGATACGAGGGAATAGATTGGAGAACCGCTTTGATGAGGAATTCCTTTCCTGCTTTCGATAATGGTTTTTCACCCCATCCCTCTATGCGAGCGAGAATCCGATCCCTTAGGAACCCAAAAATGGCCTGCTTTGATTTCCCCATAGAAAACGGCATACCGAGATATTTTTCATGCCTCGCTACTATTTGAAAACCCAAGGTGGATTGAATCAAGTGTTGCGTCTCTTGTGGTGTCATGGGGCAAAAATTCATTGTGGATTTTTCAAGATTAACAACTTGGCCCGAAGCAAGTGCATAATCTTGTAGTATCCGGTGTAGGGTCATAGCGCTCTTCGGTGTTGCCTGACAGAACACGATGGTGTCGTCCGCAAAGAAGAGGCACGAAACACTTGGCGCAGTGGGAGCTATTTTGATTCCTTGGAGAGATCCGTCAATTTGAGCCTGGCGAATCATTGCTAGGAGAGCCTCCGTGCACAAAATGAAGAGGTATGGGGAGAGTGGGTCCCCCTGTCGAAGTCCTCAATTCGGCTTTAACGATAGAAACTGGCATCCGTTGAAAAGAAAAGAATAAGTCACAGAAGAAACACATAGCATAATCAGCTCTATCAAAGATGTAGGGAAACCAAGTCCATATAAAATTTTCTGTAAGAAAGACCATTCGATTCGATCGTACGCTTTACTAATATCCAACATAGCCGCCATTAAGTGTGTGTGTTTTTTAGTATTAGATTTCATATAGTGTTTTACTTCATACGCGACAAGAACATTATCAGTGATAAGGCGCTTGGGCACAAAGGCTAATTGGGTGGGGGAGACAATATTCTGCAGAAAGGGTTTAATACGATTAGCAATGGTTTTCGACCCAAATTTGTATATAACGTTACACAAACTTATCGGCTTGTACTCGGAGATTTTTTCCGGAGTTTTAACCTTAGGAATGAGAACAATGAAAGTGTAGTTTAATTTTCTAGGGAGCTTTTTGTTATTAAGAAAATCTAGAACACAATTAAGCACATTATTCCATAGCACATGCCAAAATTTAGTAAAGAACGAAACCGGGAAGCCGTCAGGGCTTGGGGATTTGGTGGGAGACATTTGGGAAATAGCTCGTATTACCTCGTCCGCTCTAAAAGGTAGAGAAAGTAACTGGCTACCCTCATTGGATACCCTTGGCTCGATGTTCTGCAGCACTCTCTCAATCACACTCTCTGGTGGATGGGTTGAATGAAAAATCGATGAGAAATACTTTGCAATCACCTGCTCAATATCGGCTTTGTTTTCTTTCCATTCTCCCGAGTCATCTTTGAGCTTGTAAACCCAGTTCGTCCGTTTCCTAATTATGGCCTTCGCATGGAAAAAGCTCGTGTTCGGGTCTCCTTCCCTCATCCACTGCACTCGGCTCCGTTGTTTCCAATAAGTGTCAAGATCCTAATAGGCATGTTCGAGCTCCATCTGTAACTCTCTCCTTTCCCTAATGTCATCTGCCGAGCTCCTTGCCATGTTCAAAAGGTGAAGTCTTTGCTGGATATGCGCAATGCGTTTCCTAGGGTTGTGGATACCAACCAAGCTCCACCGCATAAGCGCTGCTCTACAGCTCTCCGTTTTGGTCAACAAATCTTCGATCGGATCGGTTTCCGTTTGCTCACTCCATTGCTCGTGGATAATGTCTGCACAGTCTTCATGTCGGATCCACATGGCCTCGAATCGAAATTGTCGGCGTCTCCTTTCCCTCTTAGTTGTGTCCCGGGTTTTAAGGGTGAGCAAGATCGGCACGTGATCAGACCCTCCAAACTCCAAGTGCTGAACTTGGGCCTGTGGAAAAAGGGATCGCTAGTTGTCATTTCCACACACCTGATCGAGTCTACATCTCACGGTTAGTGGTGTTTCCCGTTTATTCGACCATGTGTAAATCGATCGTGAGTAACCCAAGTCAGTGAGTTGGCAGTCCTGTAAAGCCTCTTGGAAACTCAATATCATTGAGAGTGGTCTAGGGTTTCCTCCGTCCTTCTCAGACGTAGAGAGCGTATCGTTGAAGTCCCCGCCCACAATCTATGGAAGATTTCGTTGTCCCGACAACAAATGGAGAAGGTCCCATGTTAAATGTCGCCGAGCGTGCTCCGGATAGCCATAAATACCTGTAATCCTCCATTTCTCTAATGTGTCCGAATAAGTGATCTCCACATCGATGTGATGATTCGAGAGAGAGATAAGGTCTACTTTCACGTTCTTTTGCCAGAAAAGTGCGAGCCCTCCCGCTCGTCCGTTTTTGTCAACCGATACCCCAAATAGGTTCCATTTCTTCTTTAGTCTCTCTACCAAGTGTGATGTCGCTTTCGTTTCCGAAATAAACATCACTGAGGGGTGGTGAATTCGGAGGATATCTCCGAATGAGTGAATTGTCAAGGGCACCCCCAACCCTTGACAATTCCAAAATAGACAACTCATTGGTATCGGCGGGACTGCGAGGCAGTCTCCGCCGTTGAGCTTGTTTCTTCGTCGCGTAAACAAAGGGTGTGCTGTCTTTTTCCACCTCTCGTGTCTCCAATAGTAGCTTCTCCATTTGCTCTTTTTGCCTTATTTTTCTTTGATACCGCTATCTTCTTTATTGGAAATGGTCCAATGGGAATTGTGGGCGATACTTGAATAGGATTACTAATCAGGCTGCATTCCATCAGCCCCGTAGGCTCATTGTTCTCCTTTCCACCATTCGAGCTCTGCTGGATTGCTGTCCCAGGGGTTGTCTGATCAAATCAAAAATGCCTCGTCCTTGTGAGGTCGATCCCTGCTGATGGTTCAGGAAGTTAGAAGACGCGGGTAATACCGGTTGGAGAGGTAATCTGACGGTTTGGTTTGCCGTGGTCTGATTGGCTCGGAGACAAGTTCCATACGGGAAGTTCTCACCAGGTTCTTCAAACTCATCCTCATATCTCCTCGGGCACTTCTGTTCTCCATGCCCAAGAACGCCGCATAAGAAACAGAAGTTCAGTAATCGTTTGTAGGTAAAATTCAACCAGACCCTAGCATCGTTCGTATCGTGGAAGAGATGTTAGAGGACTTGAATTTTGGTATGCACAATTTTGTTTATAATGAAAATGTGTTTGATTCTTCAGACGATTGCCATTTTGATCAACCAAATATTATTTTCGATGAGGAATTGGAAAATTTTCAGAAATCATTGAGCTGTGCACAACGCAAATTATATCCTGGTTGCTCCAAAACATTGTTATCTTTCCTTGTCAAATTTCTTCACATCAAACTCCTGAATCGAATGACTAATAAATGCTATGACATGCTTGTTGATTTATTCAAAAAATATCTGCCAGAAGGTGATATCATTCCTTCATCATTTTACAAGGCGGGAAAGATGTTAAAACGCATTGGGTTGGGCTATGAGTTAACTCATTCGTGTAAAAATGATTGTGTTCTCTTCTGGAAAGAATATAAAAGCTTAAATGATTGTCCCATCTGCAAAGAGTCTAGATGGAAAGTAAATGATTGTAAAGGAAAGAAAATTCCTCACTAAATTTTGCGTTATTTTCCTGTTAAGCCAAGATTACAGAGGTTATATTTGTCGAGGAAGACATCCTCTGATATGAGATGGCATAAAGACCGTAAAATTGAGAAAGATGATACGTTGATTCATCCTGCAGATTCTGAAGTTTGGAAGTATCTTGATAAACAGTACCCCTTGTTTGCTCAAGATCCTCAAAATGTACGGCTCGGACTAGCCACTGATGGATTTAATAATTTTGGTAACATGAGCAACTCTTATAGTATTTGGCCCGTGATCTTAATGGCATATAACTTACCACCTTGGCAATGCATGAAAGAGCCTTATCTCATGATGTCACTATTGATTCCTGGTCCCCGATCTCCCGGAAGAATTATTGACGTATATTTGAGACCTTTGATGGATGAGCTGAAGGAATTATGAGAATTGGGAGTTAAAACAAAAGATGCAAAAACTGGAGAAATTTTTCTTTTGCATGCCGCACTTTTGTGGACAATAAATGATTTCCCTGCATATGGTGACATTTCCGGACATCGAACAAAGGGCTATCGTGCTTGTCCAAGATGCAGCTCTAATACTCCTTCACAGAGGCTAAGAAGCAAAATTTGTTACATGGGTCACAGACGATATTTGCCACGTCATCACCCTTATCGGAAAAGTGTTAAGTTTAATGGTGAGGTAGAACATCGATCCAAGCCTGTGGAGCAACGCAATGATGATATTATTATACAACTAGAAGAGGTAAAAAATGTTGTGCTTGGCAAGCATTCCATTGATCTGAAAAAGAAAGAGTTTTTCTGAACACCCATGTTGGACAAAGAAGAGTATATTATTTGAGTTGCCATATTGGTCAAAACTAAAATTACGGCATAATCTTGACGTAATGCATATTGAGAAGAATATATGTGACAGTGTAATGGGAACTATAATAGACATTGATGGTAAAACAAAGGATACTGAAAAAGCTCGTTTGGATTTGGAGGATATGGGTATAAGGAGGGAGTTACACTTACAATTTTTGAAAGGTACCAAAACAAATAAAGAAGGCAAATTGAAGTGTGTAAAGTCGCGTGCACTTTATACTCTATCCCAAAAGGAAAGAAAAGGCTTTTGGGAATTCTTAAAAGCGGTGAAGTTTCCTGATGGATATGCTGCAAATATATCTAGATGTGTGAATATCAAGGATGGTAAGATAATCGGGTTAAAAAGTCATGATTGTAATGTTCTATTACAACGATTGCTTCTAGTAGGACTACGTGGTTACTTGCATAAGGATGTTCTGGATGCTATTACTGAGTTGGCAAGCTTTTTCAGACAATTGTGTTCCCGGAAACTAAATGTTAATGTCCTTGACAATTTGGAGAAGAGGATTCCTTTGATATTATGCAAGTTAGAAATGATATTTCCACCTGCATTTTTTGATGTTATGGTCCACTTAGCAATTCATTTGGCACAAGAAGCAAAAATTGGAGGACCGGTTCAATATAGATGGATGTATCCTATCGAAAGGTAATTCAATATTTTATTTATTATTTGTCGAACTTCGTTAAAGTTAACTTGGTGTCTTTAGTATTTTAATTTATGTGTTTCATTTATATATGTTTAACAGGTATCTTAGTACTCTTAAGGGGATGGTTCGAAATAGAGCTCGTCCTGAAGGCTCAATCGCAGAGGCCTATGTTGTAAAAGAGTGCTTAAGTTTTTGCTCATTATATCTTCATGGAATTGAGACAAAATATAATAGAGAGGAAAGAAATTATTATGGTGAGAAAAATCAAAATGCAACTATCTCTGTTTTTTGAAGTAAAATTCGAACCTTTGGAGAAACAAATTTTGTACAATGCCCACTGAACAATATAATGTTTTCTATTGGTTTGTCCTAAATAACTGTGCGGAGATTGATTTATATATGAGGTAATTAGATATTGTTTTATAGCATTATAATAAAATATACATGTGTTGATTGTGTTATTGTTTACTTTTTTTCTTTCTCAGGTAGCACGAAGAAAAACTTAAGCAAGAAAATCCTATTGGGTGGGAGATTAGACATAAAAAAGAATTCGCTTCATGTTTTGAGAATCGAGTAAGAACTCAAATTCATATTTCAATTATGGCAATTAATCTGTAGTTCTTTAATTTAATACATGTTATCTTGTATATATTTGATAAATTAGATTAAAAAGCTTCGGAGTACAAAATCCCCAGAAGCTACGGATGAACTTCTTGCACTTGCATCAGGCCCTGACCATCATATTAGTAAATGTAGTGGGTGCATAGTAGAAAGAGTTAAGTATCTAACTAGTCTAAGAGAATCTAGACGAGTAACTCGAAATAGTGAAGTGTGTACAGATGTAGTTCACAAAGGTAAAATGATTAAGTTTTATGGAGTTTTAGAGGATGTGATTGAGTTGAGTTATGCTTATGATTACCGAATTGTATTATTTAGTTGTAAATGGTTCGATTTGGATCGACATAAAGTAGTAAAGATAGATGGTGACATTGTGAGTATAAATGTGGGCAAGTGTTGGTACGAAAATGAACCTTGTATTTTAGCAAATTAAATAACTCAAGTTTTCTACATTAGTGATACAAAATTAGGTGGAAATTGGAGAGTAGTTCAACATGTACAACACCGACATCTTTTTGACCCAACTATCATTAATTCTACTAATGGGAATTAACCTGATGCAAATGATGCATATCAACAAGAATGTTGTTCTTATATTGAAGTTGAAGATAGTGCTATAGAGATTAGATCGGTAGTACGTAGTGGTGAAGCTCCGGTAGAGATTGTTAATCCATGTGTGCACAATAATAAAAATGATGAAGAAGAAGATGGGAAGACGAAGATGACACCTTATTCGAATATTGGACCAGTGATGATGAAGCCGCATCTCATGTCGATATAGATAGTGACATGGAATAGTGAATGGTTGCAGGTATAAATAGTTTAATTTTCTTTTCCTTTAATAATTTTTACATTAATTGTATTATGATTTATTTTTTGTTATATTCTTTACAACCTGAATTTATTGGAAATACTTTTAGAACTACATAATCTGATCAAGGAAATGTGAGAGTGGATGTAATTGTCTACCATTTGATTGGATGATGCCTGGCTTTTGTTCTTCTTAATTGGTATAAATATTTTTGACGTTATATTCTTTTATTGAGATTGTGTTGTATGTGCATTTATACTATATATTTTACATATAGCTAAAACGTATTATTTCACACTTGTTTGTCGATTTAGATATTTTCAGGTATTTACTTGCATGTGCGTTTAATTTTTGTCTTCATTCACCTCGAGCATGTAAAATTCCATGTGAGCTGCATGGAAAAGCAGCTCAAGATAGCGTATACGAAAATTTTGTTGTAGTCATTCACATATAATTTGAAGGTTCAAATTTTTCGTGTTTTGAAAAATATATTAGTTGTATCATGCTCAATTATTTATATATTTAACTATGTATAATCTTTTGATAGTTTGTTGCTTGAAATTTGCACAGATGATGTCCTGGTAATTTTGTGCACAAAATCACGAGGAGTTTTTGCTTCGTAGATCAATTACTCCACAGGTACCCATTGTTGTTGTATCTTTTTTATTTATTTATTAATTTTCAATTTGTCTCGTTAAATAATTAGTTATTTTCAACTATTAGTTAACTTTCTATAGTTTAATATGTTAGAACTTTATCAGTGTTTTATATACTTTAATTTGAAAATAGGAGTAAAGTGGAGAATAACATAGGTATAAGTGTTGTTAGCTATCAAGGGAAAATATACAAGTGAACATTTTTTGATGATTATTGGGTGTAAAATGTTACCATGCATAATATTAAATGTTCCACTGTGTTTCAAGTTTTGTTGTGCGATTTTTGAACATGAGACATTGAAATCACTAAACTATACTTCCCATTTGCTGATAGTAATGGTTTTAGCTTTATTTTCTCTTTGACAATTGATGAGAAAAATTATGTGATTCTTCATTTGGTTATTGAGAAATGATTATGTGGTTATTAACATAATTCATTTTTTTTAACAGTACGTACCTAGTGTTGGGACAATTTACTTGGGATCATGGTTGACGAAAGATCAAATGTAAGTACTATAAAATATGTGTGCCAATAGACAGTAGTTGATACAAGAGTAAATATTTATGTCGATAACTTGGTTTTATTTTTCAATATCCGTAGGCACAAATTTGAGTCTACAATTTGATGCAAGTTTTGTTTTGTTATGTCCAATTTTTAATTATTTTTTACTTTTCTAGCAACATTGTTTTTCGAGTTATTTTCTTTTCATTCTTTGGAATTATTATGACCGAGACTTTTGAGCTGATTCATTTGGTAGTATTGTAGCTATTTTATTTCTAATCAACTGATATTCGGGAAGTTGCATTATATTATTCATTTTTTCTTATCTTCTTTTACAACTATAAATATGTTTGCTAATGAGAAAAACTGGTATTATTTGCAGGAGAATTTTTATCTTCAATTTTTCAGAACAACAAGGGCTAAAAAGTGGGACCTTTGCAAGAACTTCAGTACTTTCGATCTTTGATGATAGTAAATATCCAAAAATTTCATATTATATTGTAATAAAACGTAATAATGTAGTATTCATTTTTTTAGTAGACGAATATTGGATACCGATTATAACAGCTTAGTGACATTAATTCAAATTTTTGAATGTTGATTTGATTGATTGATAGTGTTTAAATCTGCAGAGTTCTATTTAATTTGAATAACTTATGGGTTCTATCGTATATATATTTAATTTAAATAAATAATTATGTATTAATATATGTAAATGAGTAACCGATTTTATAATATATTTTCATCCACATTCGGTCACTAATATATACACACTAGCAACTAAACTTAAAACTTTTTACAATCGTCACTCGGTCGCTAATATACACTCATTAACAACCAATTGTAATTATTTTTGCAACCATTATTTAGTTTCTAATGTAAACACAATAACAACCAATTATTTACTTGTTATAAGAATATTTTTAGCAGTGAGGTTTTTAGTCGCAAAATGGTCTCTGAAATATTTGAAGTGCAACACCAATTGCAACCACACAAAAACTATTACAACCAACTAATTGGTTGTTAACTGATTATCATTCACCTACCAAAACGATATGGTCATTGTATATGTAGTTATAACAACCAACTACTAGGTTGTTAAATGAATATAGTTCACCGACCAAAACGATATGGTCACTATATATGTAGTTATAGCGACCCTACTAATCTTTTTGTGACAATAAAATTTTACATTAACGACCCAAACAAATGTCACTAATAATTATATTTTTAATCACCATTAATTACGGGTTGCTAAATACACGCCCTTAGTGTCCACTTCAATATCTCGTCGCTGATACTTTCAGTGACAACACTGTTGTGACCAAATCTGACCAAATTCAATTTGGTCACTGTAACTTGTAATGACCATTTTCTAACTTTTAGCGTCCACAATCACCGGTCACTAAACCTATTTTTTCTTGTAGTGTATGTATGCCGATGTCACAACACCGTTGACTAATGAGACGCAGTACACATACACTAAGTGCTAGTCTCGAATGGGAAAGTCCGATATCCTCATTAGTGGCGTAACCTGTTGACTAGGAACAATGTTTAACAGCTACTATACTTAAATAAATAATCTCACGATTCTAGTAGATCTATTTACAGTAATTATGTAACTGCAAGGACTGCATCTATGCTTATGCAAGGGAAACAAATATAGAATGCCAAAGGGGGTTTTTATCATTAAAATGAAATAGATTATTTACGAGTAGTGTGAGAAAACTCAACAATTAGTTGGCTCTTCGGTCACCTACTCTAACAGTTGTACCTAAAATAGAATAAACCACTTATTAAGCACCATTAATTTCATAAAAGTATACAAAAATCCTCATAAAAAAAGTATATATTGGGTGTAAAATACACACTCAACACACCCCAAACTTGAACTTTTGCTTCTCCTCGAGCAAAAACTAGCAACTTTCAAAGCAACACTTTCAACAAATGCCCCTCATCACATAGATTAATGGTCGATCTTCACGTTTTCATAACTTGCAATGATCATGACAATTCTGAAAAATTTGCAAGCTCGCAATTCAAATATACTTATTCACTTACCATTGCTAAGAACCACAACCCGTGTTATCGCTTCAAGTATCCCATATTTGTAAATTAAAAATGGAAAAAATTTATACTTACATAATCATATTCAAATAATTGAGCAATTGGGATCATTGAGACTTTTTGGCTTTCAAATGTTGGGCTTTTGGGTAAGAGTGGCTACTCTTCTCCTTTCATCTCACAATTAGTCACTAAGAGTTGCAGTTGACGAAATTTTTAACTCTCGTTCTTGACTAGAGGTGTTTTTCTAAGATTTAGCTTTTGGACTTATTTCTTCACCTCAAAGGACTTATTTCTTAACTCGATTTGTTTAGAGTTCAAAAGTCTCCACTTTTTCTCTTAACATGATGGTTTGAGTTTTTACTTTAAAATCTTTCTCAAGTTCTTTCTTCCCCTTCTATTTTTCTTCTTCTTCGTCTTCTTTTTGTTTTCTTTTTTTTTTCTTTTTCTTTTACGAAGAAGAAAAATGTAACAATTTTTTTCAACCAAACTCCAAGGGAAAATTTATGATGAAATCATCATCTAATCTACCCACTTTATTTCGGCTAAAAGAAAGAACACCGTTTCTCCAAGGCTCAATCAATGTTCTATTGATAAAAATTTAAAGGTAGGTTTGAAAGGCTCAGACGTTTCAATGATGGCCCAAATCACTTCCCAGATTGCTCAACAATTTTATATTTCACTTTGTAAATTCCTAAGGCAAGTTCTAAAACCGAATAGCATATGATATAGCATAAATTAATTCCACGTTTTAAAACAAAAAACTTTCAATCAAAGCAAGGCATAATTCATGATTCCTAACAATGACTCCTTCCTACGACACTTTGAATCGAAAGCTCACCAAAATTCCGTCACAATCAAGATAAAGCAACCAATTTCATCATTTAACATCAACCATCTTTCATCATCATGATTCATCAAAGCATTAATCTCGATACATATTTTTTTTATCGAAAGCAATAACTAAACTAAAAATAACTAAAATAAAAAAATTCCTAAGGCATGCAAACTAAAAAAATAAAGCACATAAAAACAAGTAATTTTCCACCCCCAAACTTAAAATTTACATTGCCCTCAATGTAATTAGAACAAAGTTCAAGGATAGAATACACCTGATTAGTCGAAAGATCCTTCTCTGGGATGCACTCTTCTATGTTCGTTTGATCCACCTTTAACGTTCGATCCCTTAGTATTTGATTTTCGACCTGAAAATTAAAACAAGATTAAATTATTAGTTGTGCATGCTAAAGTCCTAAGAAAAATAAAAATAAAGAAAAATACAAAATCGATAAATGCGCGGGTTGTCTCTCGAGAAGTGCTAAGTTTCAAGTCTTTAGCCAGACTTTGCTTCTTAAAATTGTTATGTCCAATCCAAAGCCTTGTAGATAGCTCATTCATCCATTTGTTTTACTACACCTCTTTCAACCAATGCATGGACAAGGTTGCAATATGCAAGTGTCCATATCCACCTTAGTTGGTACCCTTTTTTGTTAATAAGCAATTTGTACAGTAACAAGGTAGGATGTTCGTCACCCGCTCCCTCAAATCGATATACAAAAATCTCCAATCTACGTATAACCTCGACCTCAAACACATTAGCCTTCTCATCAACCACTATTGATGCCTTCAAATTCACATATAGATCAACGATAGGGTTTACAACTAGAATATCTTCAATCATTACATCCATCTGCTTCTTCTCTTGTTTTGAGGCATCTTCGGGTTTTAGCTCGATTGCATTCTCAGATTCATCATGCTCAAGTGTCTTCGTAATTTCTATTTCTCTCATATCGACACTATTTTCTGGACATAGAAGATTTTTCTCACCGCAGGCTTCACCCGTATTTTCTTTGATATAACCATTGCCAATTTTGTCTAGAATATTTTCAAGAGACTCACGCAATGTTTGGTAAAATTTCTATTTTGTTTTAGTTGATTCCCCAAAAAAAAATTATATTTATTACACTTCTCAAATAATTTTCTCAAAACAATCTCAAAAGTTTCTCTCTCTTTCAGACATGATGTGACTGCTACAATAAAATGATTTCACTGCTACAGTAAAAAATGTCTTCACTAAAAACAAAATAAATATCACTTCATCTTTCAATTTTTTTTATTCTAAAATATTTTTTTCTAATACTTTTAAACATGATGTGACTGCTACAGTGTATTTTGTCTCCTTCCAAAACACAAACAAACATTACTTTCATTCTCAAATTATTTTCCCAAAACACATTTCCTCGAAATAAAATCAAAAAAAGTTCCAAAACGCTTCCAAACATTGCCTCAGATTTTAATTTGAGCGTCGTCTCTTCCAGTTGTATCTCCATGTTTCGAAACAATGCTTGAGTGGACTTCATGAATTCGGCAATGAGGGATACCGAATCAAGTTGTTCAACAGTGATTTGTTGCTGCGATGGATAATAATTTTGGAAATCAGAAAATTATGGCTCTCTATGTTGAAACTCGTTCAAATCTTGGTCTTGAAAGCTTTGCTCATATGTGTTGGTGTAAGTGTTCCAATAATCTATGTTGGTAATTTCGACGAAATTTGTCGCTTTTGGTGATCCCAAGCATTGATCGGAATAATGATTTCCACCACATGCTGAACAAAATGGAGGCTTATCACAGGTGTTTTGGAGATATTCGTCAGATGGAAGCCATTCATATCCTGTTTGAGGTGCCTGAACATTGTAACCAGACATTGAACAAAAAGAAAAAAAAATGAAAATTAAAAAAAAAATTAAATTAAATGGCTGAAGTAAGAAAAAATGCTCAAATTTTATATTAGAATAAATATATAATTTAGTCGTATTCCCCGGCAACGGCGCCAAAAACTTGTTGGGGCTAAATACCTAACACGTAAGTGCACGAATGGCAAACAAGTAGTAAAAGTGGACTCGTGAGAGTCGGATGTCGATCCCACAGGGAACACTCATATTATCTAATCCTAAGTACTGAATTCTAACAACTATGATTTTTATACAGCCTACGCAAAGTTGTCAAATATAATAAACTAAATAATTAAACTAATTATGAAAGCAAATAAATACGAGAAAATATCAATATAAAAACGGACCTAGGATTTTATCTTCCCTCCTATGCAAGAATTACTCACCCAAAACCCCTCAATTACGAAATATATGATTCCTTATTATTAACCTGAGACACTATATTAATTATAACCCGTTGTCGCGTGCATTATAATTATATTATCCAAAACCAAATTACTATATGTCTACGCAATCCGATCATGAATGAAGCATTAAAGCATAATTCTCAACAATGATTACCTAAGGTGAATATATGTATGTCTATGATACCACATGCAATTAACACACTAATACGGTGAAAACTACTCGAATGTTCTTTCACTTACCGTTTAATTATCAAAATAGCTCTGTCGAGTCAATCCCAATAACCACAGTTAAAGCACATAAATTGATCAGGTTCATGCACTAACAATCATAATAAGTAGAAGAAATAATCATAAAATCATAATTCCATAATCTCAAGAAAACGGGTTCAGTATCCCCACATAGGGTTGCAACAAAATCCTAGATT